TTGAATGAATGGATGAACCTGTGTAAATAAATGGTTGAATGAATGGAGGGTGCACCTGCTTTGAAGCTTCTTGTTTTGGAGGTTCCTCCTGCTCGAGGTTCTCCTGAGGAAACAGGAGCCCAGGAACATTGAGGAGGAAAGGAGCAATCTGTTCTGGAAGGTCAGCCCCGGGGATTTCATTCGACATGAGCTCCTCCTGAGCATAAAGCTTGGCCAGGGCCATCTGCTGAGACGTGCACAGCCCCAGAGCTCCGCACACAACACTAGGATCATCCTTTAAAAGAAAAAAAAAAACCAAAAAACATACATTAGGCATCTTTGTAGCCTGCAGGTGTGTTTCCTTTTAAAATTGTTGTAGTAGGTGTTAGTTAGGATGGAAGGAAATTGTCAAAGAAAAATTCTGGTCACAAGGTTTAATTTTGCACAGTGACCACTCTGTTCTCATTTAGGATTTAACTCGTTTCCTCGGTCAATAGCTCCTTTCAGCTGGCTGCACTTTGCTCACACAGCCAGTTGAATTCTTCTCCCACTAATTCATGCCAAAATGCAGATGGGTTGTTTCTCAAACAGTCTCAGAGGTTTTAATTTGAATTGAAATAGAAACCAGCCTGACAGGATCTTTGACAAAACAATTTTCACTCTCCTGGAAGCATCTTATGGTTCAGGCTAGCACTGCTCACCAGTTCCCCGGCAATAATCCCATATATGATGGGGTAGTAGTTATCCACCAGCTCCTTGCACTGAGCAGTCAGGCTCTGTTCAGGGACGAGCTGACAGGCCTTCTCCAGGTACCCAAGAATCTCAGCCTGCAGTCAGAGCAGCGTTACAAACTTTCAACCGTTTAACTCAAAGATTTAAAGCAACATTTAGAGCAACACGTCTTTTGCCTCTCAACCTTACCTCAGTTGCATTGTCCTTCAGCAGTTGTTCCACCACCATCAAGACCTCTTTACACAGGTCACATGGTACAGTTTTCTACAACCACACAAATGGTTGAGGAGAAAAATTACAACAAGTTTTAGTTTAGAAAAACAATGCACATTATAGATTTACAGGAAGCGCACTGAACCCGTTAATCATACACGCCACTTTAGAAACACACATATTGCCATTTTCTTTATTAAAACAAAGTTGCTACTATTTATTTATGTCAGTCTCACCATCTGGGGCTTGTTCCACACGTTCTGCTGGCAGTGAGGCACAGCCCCGCAGAGAGACGCCGTCTTCACGTTCTGACACCAGTATGGAGGACCACGAGCACACTGCTCAGTGCCCAGCAGAGGAGTCGCCACAGCTGCACAGCAGACAAAAAAAATTATCTTTTTTGTGAGCCGTTTGAAAGGAAATATAAAATTATAGGCACAGAAACTACTTTAGCTCAAAGTAAGGCAACCACTGGTTATAATGTTCAAATTGGCGTAGGTCTAGATATGAATGTGCAAGTGTGATTGTATTGCGTTTACTATAATGTGGAAAAAAAAAAAAAAAAAAAAACACATTTTCACAGGTACCGACAATCAAGAGTCCCATCTTATTTTTCTGGTCAGGTTGGGTTTAACATAATTTTTTTTTACACTTTAAGGAAACAAAACTACAGTATATGAGGAAGTTATTCAGATGTCACTTTCAAAAGAGAGTATTGATCAGCAAATGTTACTTCTTAAAATGCCCACTAAATGGAAACTGAAGAGTTCAACCTGAGAAGTACGTTTTAAAATGTTTCAGAGATGGCAGCTATGTTTTAATAAACCCGAGAGCAAAAATATCCAATAAACAAAACAGAATTGTAGTAAAATGCTTTTAAATGCATCAGTGGGGGGGGTCGCTCAGATTGTTTTCAATGGGAGCCTCAACTGAAATAGCACCTTTGCTTTTTTCTTCTTCTTTGTTTTAACCCTAGCTAAAGACATCCAATCATCTTATTAGTTTTGGTAAAACTTAAGAAATGCAAGCAAGTCCTTACATTCTGTGAAGTTTAAGCTACTGGGTAGTTCACTTGTTGAAGGTACTGTGGGTAAATACTACGAACGGTGTAAAATATCAAAACAAATCCTAGTATGAACTTCCAAGTCATGTTAGCATACGATTTAAGTGGGCTAATTTTCCGGCAACTAACCAAAATGTAAAAAACAACCATAAGACAGAACATAGGTAGTTTTATATACGAATAAATAAATAAAAAAATGCAGAAGTGCGTTGTTTAACATAAAAGGTCATCTTCCCTGCCGGTGTATTAAAATACATTTACTAATATCCATTTACTGAAGTGAAAAAAGGGATGTGAGAGAATCTTTGTCCAAACTTCCAAGTCAAGTTTTTAAACACTTAAAAAATAATCTCCACATCACATCAGCTACATTTGAACCCAACTGCAGTAGCCAAGTCAGACTCCTAAACTCATCTAAATAAGAGTTACCAACGGCATGTGGTGACACCAGATAAGAATGTGCAACAGCCCAAACAAAACCTCTCGATAAGCCTCCAGGAAGCAGATCCCTCCCACATGCACCTGAATCACGAGTCTGACAAAATAATAAAGTCGTTTACATGAAAACAAGCTGTTCGAATGAGATCATCGCTGAATGTGGATCAGGACAACTGTAAACCTTTAAACCAGCACAAATACAGCAACATGTTAACGCTAGTTTTTGTTTAAATCATGTGATCTGTTTGCAACATGTCAAATAATAGAAAACCTAAAACAGGAACTAACTGCACCCAAAATTAGTGAACTACTGTATGAAATGAGTATTTGACAGGCTGGTTACCTTAACCAAGCTGCTAAAAGTAGAAACCACGCTGCACATGAATAACAAAGAGTCATTACAGATGACACTGGCATGCAGGATTGTCCATTAAAAACCAACAATAGCAAGAATGTACAAGGAACATATAACCAGAAGGTAAACTTAGATAAGCACCAAGTACAAAAAGAACAGAAGTCAGGTGGTTTAACGTTTGCACGGATAACAGAAACATTGATGGCATTTATTTCCTGAAGCCACAAGACAGAGGAGCATAAAGAGTTGGTTCTTTTGTGATCTTGACAGCAGAAATCATCTGTATCAGTGTCCCTTTTCAGTTTGAATTTAAAATTAAAATAGGATTAAACATAAAAAAGTATTAAGTATTGTGAGCAAACAAAAAAGCTGAAATGCAAGCTGCTGCTTGGCAGACTACACATTATGGTTTTTGGAAAAACTTGACTTAAACTTTTTTTTATCTATCAATCATTTTACATTAAAATGGTCAAAAGGACATGTCTTGAACAACATATTAAAAACTAATTCATAGTTCGTCTGAAACTCCCAAGCTATGGACAAAACATGACAAATCGAAACTCTCACAATGAGGCTATTTCTTTACAAATAAAAACAACGTTCATGCTGACGAGTGCGCATGCGTACAAACTGCTAGCTTAGCTCCGAATATGGCTAGCCATGCGTAATAATAATCAGACGCAGTACGTTAAACAGTTAAATACTATTAGTCAGTTTAGAAAATACATAATGGCTCATATATTCATGAAAAAAAAGCTTGGGTTTGTTTTCTTTAAATAAAAATCAACCCGAACGTTAACCGGCGTTCGCCCTTTAAGTCGACTTGTTTACCGAAGCTAACTGCTGCTTGAAACGCTTCCGCGTCACGGCAATGAAACGCACTTAGTTACACAACCAAAATATCCGCTGTGGAGGTCACAACAAACAGAATAAGTGAACAAGTGTTGCCCTGTGTGTCGATGTTACCTGTGGAAATAAAAAGCAGAGTTAGCAGCATGACTGCGCCGTTTTCCGTCCGGTTTTCGTGTTTCTCGGTAAAGTCTGGTGACCGCAATGCAGGCGGAGGGATCTGCTGGTGCTTTTTGATGGCTCACAGTCAGCTGACCTCGTGCAGCATGTGACTCAGCTTTAATCACTGCACCCAGACTCAAAGGTTTCAAGTATACTCAAAGGTTTGAGACTTCAAAAAAAAAACAACGCTATTTTATTCACATATCTTCTTTCTCACCAGCAAGATCAACTGATTTTAGAAACAGTTAGCTGGTCAGTTACATCGTGGTGAAAAGTATTACTCCGCAACATTAAATAGTTTATTCTCAGTGATCACTGTTTCAAACTTATTTGAATAAAAACAGTAAGCATTTATGTTTTATAAGACCATCACGTTTAACTCTTACTACTTTATTGTCACACAATAAAACTTTGATTGTTTTGCAAAATACAAAAACAATGAGCCTGAATTTTAGTCACAATTTATAGCTAAATAAAATGTTGAACATAGGAAACTAAAAATTTAAAAGGTGATTTTGAATGTCACAGTCATAAAACAAGCTGAAGCAGAAGCTTGTTAAAAGTAAATGGTACAAATAAGAAACATCTGGAGGAGCACTTTGCAGCTAATTAATTAGCAACAGGTCAGTAAGAGGAAACGGCATTTCCGAGGCTGAATCTTAGAAATAAAAATGTGTAGAGCGGAGCAAATTCAGATTACTGTAATGTTCTTCGACAGAAAACTGAGAAGGCTTAGATTATCCCATCATCTATGGATCATTTTATCACTGGGAGATTTCAAGAATCTGTAAAAATCTTTTGAGCTCAAAAGGACAAGACGGAAAGTCAATATTGTATTGGACGCATGATGTTCAGGCCCTCAGGGGCCACAGCTGAACATCGCTGCACGGACTCAGGAACACTTCAAAACATCGTCTCTAAACACACCGTGACATCCACCAATGCTTGTTAAAGCTCCGCAAAGAAGAAGCCATAAAAAGAGGGGCGGGACCTCTCTGATGGTATGGGGGTGCATTAGTGCAACTGGCATGGATGGCGTACACATCATCAGATGGCATCAATGCAGAAAAGTTTTAGAACATATGGTGCTATTAAGGTGACTTTCCTTGCACATGTCAGGAAGACATAGCTAAACCACATACTGCGTTCATTATGACAGCACGACTCTGGCTGCTGAACTGACCTTTACAAACACAAAGACTCAGTTTTACACTCTGAGCTAAAATATGTCATGGCAGTGGCTGAAGCCGATTTCTCCCAAACCATACTGTGCAGACTGTGGAAGATCTTTTGCAGCTGTGCGATGCATTCCCTCAAAGAAAGCTGCTTTGACGGACAGCATTTCTGTTGTACAAGTAATCAGCTGCTCATAAACCGTGTCCGACTGCACTGAAAACAGGAGCCACATGACCGTGCTGGTCACACGACTGAGAACGTTTCAAACTAGCTTCTAAAAGAAAATCACAGAAAATGCCCAACAAGAAAATAGCCATTTATTATTAATATTGTTACGCCGACACATTATCAAAATTCAGGAAGCGTCATCGAGGGAAGCGACACTCTGCTCCGTCCAGATACGAGCGGTGAAAACCTGCAAAACAAAAGAAAAAGGGACAAACGACACACGGCGTTAAGCACAAAACAAAACAAAGATAAAGACGTTTCTGTGACGTGCATTTAAACTTGAACTCTCAGAGCAAAACGTTGAAAATCAAACCCTGTTTGAAAAACCAATCAAATACTGCCACTTTTTGAATAAATAAATAATAAAAGCTGTTTGTTCTGCGATCAATTATTCTTAGAATTAAAAAGTTGCTCAGGAAAACTAGAAAACATCATTTACAGACCTCTGCATCAATGTAGGCCGTTTGAGCTCATACCAGATGGACAATTATAATTTATAAAGCATAAATAAATAAAATAACGTAGTGGCAGTTTGAAAATATTAAAACAAACGTTATTTATTTAGTTGGTATTTAATCAGGTAATACAACTCCTTGAGGTTCATCCTTTCTGGTTTAATCATTTATTGACAAATTAGACTTACCGTAATTTTCGGACTATAAGGCGCATTAAGTGAAACTAAAACATTTTGACAGATTTTTGAGCGCCGTGTAACATAAAATTGGTTCGAGGTCAGTAAGCACAACCAGAATTAACACACAAGGCTCACTGTTGATTTTTGAGAAAATAAAAGGATTTTAAGTGCACGTTGTAGTCTGAAAAATACAGTATAATAGCTTTAAATGTATGTTTCCCCATTAGAAGGCTAGTGTTTGTTGCTCATAAGAACTTAAGCTTGGATAAAGTGATCTCTGTGATAAAGGTTGATGCAAAAAAAAAAAAAAACTACTGATGCATCAGGCAGTCTGTGTCACCGTGACATAAACCTAGATCTAAAAAAAGAGAACAGGTTTGTCTGCAAAGCACGAGATGAACGCAGAGAATGTTTATCTTGTTGGGAGGTTTCTATTTTTTTTGTAAACAGAAACAATAGAAAATATTAGAACACCATATGGGTAGGTAGGCCGGTCACGATAAGTTTTGCTGGGCGATTAATTGTCTCAGAAATTATTGCAATAAACGATAATATTCACAAAGTTTGTTTTCTCAGTCATCCAGGTATATAACAACAAAAAAGGTTGAATCATGTCATCTGGACTTCGTTTTTTTGTTAAAAAAGAAACGTTTCGCCCCTCGTCCAAGAGGCTTCGTCAGTCTGAGGCCTAGCCATCTGGTATTACCCAGAAGCCATCCTG